CGTTAAAAATGTCTACAAATTGATGAAACTGATCTGAGATCAGGTTAAAACTATAGACGCTGGTTCAATGATCTCTATGAACTCGCATGATCACTACTCTGCAGTGGGGACGATCTGGTTGGCAGGCAGCAGGAAACCGTAGAAGCCTGTATCACGCAACTCAAAGGCAAAGGAATATTTGATGCCAGTATTGCAGGTCCAATAGATGCTTCCACCACTTGCTTGGTCTGAAATATAGCAGGCCAGTATCACAATCAGAAAACAGTCAGAAGCCATATCTTGGTACTCAAACAGAGCATGCAGTCTACTTACAGATAAGTTTGCAGATGCTTCCAACTTGGTATCTGGTCATAGAGGGAGGTGAGTTCTTCGATTGCAGCTGTGCCAACAGTATGCTACAATAAATGAAAACAACAACACAAAATATTAACAAGAAAATACAAAAATATAAAACATTTAAATGGATATGAATTGACTTACAAGCTCAGACTTGTCAGGAACGTCTGTGCATGTGTAACCATAATGCATGCATAAGAGTGCATGGAGATGGAGGATTTGAAATTGCCGTGGCCCATGATGAGGTCAACAACGTTTTTCACTTTGACCTCAGAGTTGGCATAGGGCCCGTGGTAGGAGTTGCAACAGGGGTCCTTGCTGGCTCCGGGACCTGGCAGAACATGTCTATAGTTACTGTATATTGTGTAGCCTACTATTGCAACAAGACAATGATGATATCTACATACCACCAAAACCAGCATCCCAGTTCCTGTTGGGATCGGCACCACAGCAGGAGGAGCCAGAGTTCATGGAGCGAGTTTTACGCCACGTACGGTTCTGAATGTAGAGAACATTTTAATGCATATTTGCTTCATGTTTTTGAATGATTTTTGGAACAATAATTATTGAATGAGAGGTCTTAAAAATTTGTATGTCAAGACCTCAGAATTTAGTTCATTTTTTGGTACCAGCCTGCTTCTTACTAAAGTATTTAATCCTTATAAATAAAGATTAATTTAAT